GGACGAGGATGGACGGCGGGCTTTCGGATTGTGGCTGCCGCATACGCCTTCGATTCAGAGCAGACTGTGCGGCAGAAATCACGGCAGAATCTGAGCCCAATTGGCTGTATGAGACATCTAATCCTTCAAGGTCCGTAATCGCAGATTGCTGTTGTATTTCGACGGACGCTGCTGGAGTGCTCGTGGAGCTCAAATGTAGGTCATGTGCTCTGAGTATCGTGTCTTGGTCTATGACGCTGTTCTCCTTAGGAAACCCGGCAAAAAAGGAACGCATGAAATCGCATTGCACAAACATAGTGCTAGGGTACAAGCAAATCTCGTTCTCCCTGAGCATTCTTGGCAGAAATAAATTGTTTGCTATATAGCGATACGAGCATGTCAAGGGTCGACCACATCGCCTTTTTACAACACTCTCTTGAGATTTGCAGGGAAAGCTTTGGTTGGGAACAGGTAGCAGAGTAGTAGTCGAAATAGAACGCAACTTAGACTCAATTGTACTAGAATTAAATCCTTGAGCTTGCGCGTGTAGTAAAAACCTCTTTAGTGTTGACTCGTCAGTGCCTGCATGGATTGGCTGGATCCCATGCTGCACAATTGGTCTTTCGGCAGACAGATGCGGAAAGTTTCTCAAAGCCGATATAAAAAGTGCCTGAAAAGCCAAAGAGAACCTTGGGGAACAAGTTATTGGATAGAATTGATGTTCCGCGTGTTCTATCAAAGTCTCCCTTGGTTGCCATATTTCTTGCATTGCTTGAGCCACAGTTTCATGTTTGCTCAGTGGGCGACCATCCAGAAGATGGTCCCGGAGTATGCGCATACCAACTCTCAAATACTTCATGTTGCCGTGAAAGGTCTCAATGCTTGGAATAACTACGCCTATCCCGAGCAGCTGCTGCTCAATTTGTCCGCGTAGATGAGAATCTGAAATGCTGCCGAAAAGCTTTCCAGATCGCATGAGAAGCCGTACCTTATCGTTGTCGGCATAGCTTGCGGACGGGCATAGGAGTGTAAGCTCTTTGACGGTTTCATTATCAGTTGCCATACGTACATCCGAATTATTCAGGGTAATTTTTCTCCAGGTCTCTTTGATGTGGCGCAGATAATTGTATATTTCTTCAGGGCACCTGTCAGCAAAGTGCTTATCTATGTTGCCAAGTTGCCAGCCATTGCGAAGACCAGGGTAATCCGTTAACTCGTACAACAGTTCAGACATTACTTCATCTTCCAGTATCCTCTTGAGAGCCCCTTTCTTGTCTTTAGACAAGTGCAGGTGCCAGTAATTCTCGTTTTCACGCTGGCGCATTCGTCGGCATGCAAAGACATGGCGAAATACGTCGCCATCAGAAAGCTTCATCTGATGAGAGCTATGATCAATGTGACGTAAGAGCAAAATCTCCGGATCGCTTCCCTCCGGTATACGAAATATTCGCACACTCCACCACTTTTCAGGTCCGAAATTCCGCATGGCTGCTTCATAACGTTGTCTACCATGTAAACAACGCACATTTCCAGTCGGCTTTAGCCGCGGAAAAGGAGGCTGACCATGAGCCAAAGTCTCCAACTCGATCCCTGGTGTTTGCGTGAGTATAAGAGCAAGCTCACTTGGTGACACAAAGACAGGAATTTGGTTTTCCATGGCATCCGGATCACACCTTTCCTTGAAGATGGCTGCTAGGCAATCAACAGCGGCCAGTTCTTTGTCACGAGCGAAGGGAAAGGTGAGATTTCGCAGTTGGATTTGAGCGTATCCAAGTTCATAGCTCTCCTTGAAAGGCGTGGTGGATTCCATGTTTGGTGTTGCAGGTTGTATTGTAATTGAAGAAAATTCTCTCGGTCGATTAAAGAACAGCCCAACGGAAGCAAAGAGGTCAATTATGTCACATCTTACATAGCAATTTGAACGCAGCCAGAAAAAATATCACCGAGTTCTGCGATTCAAGAATTAAGATCCAGGCTGTTGGGAACAAAAATCCAATAGTTTAGATACCGAAGACTAGGATTCAAGAGCAAAGAACCCAAAACTGATTCAACACCACAGTACCACTATGAGCGCTGCTATCCCCCGTGGATGGCAGACTCCCGCTGCTGTCCTCAGTGGATGGCAAGCTTATTCTGCGCTGTCCCCAGTGGATGGCAAGCCTTCTCTGCTATCCCCCGTGGATGGCAGACCCCCACTGCTGTCCTCAGTGGATGACAAGCTTATTCTGCGCTGTCCCCAGTGGATGGCAAGCCTTCTCTGCTATCCCCCGTGGATGGCAGACTCCCCCTGCTGTCCTCAGTGGATGACAAGCTTATTCTG